TATTATTTCCTATGTTGACTATATTGTAGTATTATTACCTATGTTAACTATATTGTTAGAATTATTACCTACATTCACTATATTGTTAGAATTATTACCTACATTCACTATATTGTGGTATTATAACCTGTGTTGACTATATTGTTAGAATTATTACCTATTTCCAAAACATACTTACTTACCTCCTGTCACACTTACAGCTATTACTCACCAGCCAAAGTTTCTTCCTTTGCCCATCTAAGCATTGGTTGGATTTTTTTGTTGCTCACTCCAGTCCTTTATACCTCACTTAATTGCTCATGGTGATATTTGTCTCATGATACTCTCTGCCTACGTCAATGCCCTCTCTATACTGGTACTGTATATAAGGACCTTATTCAGATAATCTGTGTTACCTAGTTGATTTTCGTAAAATAAAAAAAAAAAAAAAAGAATTTGATTGGCAAGCCGATTTAAAGTATGAATTCCCAGATTATTATTTCCGGCAAAGAGACAACTCAGGTCTCTCATATTCCAGACTTGTAACACTGGAATACGGGGCTAGATTCCCTATGGTGGACATAACAAATAGCCCAATATTGCTTTGCTCTCACAAAACAAACTTACCTGACCAAATGTTGTTCCAATCAACTCAGTCTGTAAATGAAATGAAAAAAACAAAAAGAAGGCCACCTTGGAATAAGCTGCTTGATTTGTCTTCTTCAGTTGGTTCATCTAGAGTAAGATGTTTCCCCAGTTGCTTTTGAGCCTGTACCTTACTGGATGGCTGAAAGGTCTGGGAGTGAATATTCAGGTTTCTAACCATCCATGGACATTGTGGTTCATGCAGGGAGGTTTACTTCTCAGATACTTGAAGGGACAGCTATGCCTTATCCGACACGGTTGTCGGAACTGCATGATTTAGCCTACTACCACCATATGGAAGCATATTATGACTCTCAAATACTACATCTGCCTTTGGAATGAGAGCACAAGAGATCATTTTAAGGTCTTTATGCGACCAAGGGATCATAAACTGGATTCACTGGATTTCCCAATTTCCTTAGTCAGGATCATTCATCGATCTCAAGGGGTTGTTAAGTCGGGATACTACTAAAATATGAGTTCCTCGTCCAGAGTTACATCACTTCATGAATATCTTGTTTCAGGGATGGGGTGCATATACCAACAGTCAGGAATTCCAGGGTCTATGCACAAATGATGAGGTTTCCCTACACTGTTTCAGTCCTTCTTGCTCTTCAAAAAGCAATGTCTCATAGTCTGGGCTTATTAAGGAGAAAATGATCAGGCTTCACTCTAACAATTCTGTGGTGGTGTCTTGTGTTTCTCATTGAGGAGGCACTTAGTCCAGGGCTCCTTGTTTTCGAATGTGGAACCTCCTTTCTTGGGATCACTCCTATCATATTATCCTACTAGTTTGCCATGTTCCACAGGTGATGACTGCAACAACAGGTCAGTTGTCTCAACCCAGACAGATTCTCACAACAGAATAGATGCTGCACTGCAAGGTTCTGTTAGATTGGCTCTCATTTTATAACTCTGATTGGTGGGTTGGCCTCTCATTGGAACACCCAACTACTGGCAATTTAGTCTTCAGTATCTCGCTTTCAGGCTTTTGGCAATGGATGCATTCCATCAGAATGGGACTGGATTACAACTCTAGGTATTCCCTCCAATTAATATGTTACCCAAGGTACTAACTATGATTTGTTCCAACCCATTGTTGGGTCCTGTTGGTAGCACCAGATTGGTAGCTACACCCTGGTTTCTGCTTCTGTGGTACCTTCGGGAGTGTCCAACTCTTCCACTTCTTCTTAGGTCATCTCTGAGGAGGCAGCCATGATCTGACATTGTACAACCAGCTATCCAGGAGGTCAGGCTTCAGGAATAGAAGTTATGCAATCTGTTGCATGGCATCAGGGTTTAATTTCTAAGGTTGCCATGTATCTGTCTCAGTCTTCGCTTAGTCCTCCAATGAACATTAATCAATGGAAATAACACGCATATCAGCAATGGTGTATTGAGAGACGTTTGAACCCAATTTGATCAGAAGTGCCAACCATAACTCGTTTTTTGACCTGGTTCTTTGATAAGAGTTTTTGCATCTTCCACAATTGCCCTTTATAAGGCGGCCTTATCGACTACCATTCGATACTCGCGACAAAATATTATTTGAGTCTCTAGTACTCTCCAGATTCCTCAGGTTGCTTTGGGTCCTTAGTCCCAAACGACCATTCCAGTTACCAAACTGGTATATTAAGTCTACATTACATGCCCTTTCTCACTTGCTTGTGACCTGATTTTCATATGCTATGTATCACCTTTATCTGAAAGTTTACTTTTGATACTGCTGACCTACATACATCGCTGGTTGGAGTGGTTTGTGCAGTATGTCCACATACTGCTTTCTCATTCTATCTACATCCTCAGACTGGTTCTTCTTACCCAAGACACTGTCAGACAGGGAAGGCTATAAATCCTTTTCACTGATTCATCTGATCACTATTTTTCATTTCTATGTCTGATCAGATTTCAATCATTGTCATGTTCAGTGAGGGTCTTGAAGGTTTTGTTGCCTGCACTAATGCCTTTAGAGATGCTAGACAACGAATCTTTTATTCTGGGCTCTCTATGAATGCGTGGAATATTATGTGAGTCAAGTCTAGTCATATTTGTCACATTTCTATGTTATTAGCAGCCCAGTTGAATTGCCTTGAAGAAGACATTGTGTGGACCTCCCCCAATATTTTTATCTCACATTATATGCATGATCTGGCAATATCGTCATCTGAGGGTTTTTGCCTACCAACTTTAGCTATCGTAACCACTTCTGCTAGATTATACAGAGGGGTGAGTATTTTCATTACTACCTTTCAGGGTCCTTTACAGGATCCCACTCTGGCGAGTGTTGCCCAGGCATGTGTGCTGTTATCAAACCAATTCTGCACTGGCAACCACTAATTCAATATACTTTATACAGGTTGCAACATTCTCTGTAGAAATGAGGTGTTCCATAAGACCACCTAGAGACTGACTGAGTAGTATTACTGTATTATGCTGGAATGCCACTGGACTACCATGAGTAAAGCATAAGGGGATCCTGCTCATCCCTGCAGATCATCAGATTGAATAAATTGAAGTCGGTTTGCTTTTAAAAAATTAGGGAACTTGGTTCACCTATTGTACTGTTCCTCAGGGCTCCCCAGTGCACATTACCACCCAGATTCTGCTAGTGGAGTTACCACACCTGGTTTCCAGTCACTAGGATGGTGGACAAAGGCTTTTCCTCCAGAGTGTTAGAGTGAATTTCCTCTACTTTTTGGAGAAGAGGGCAAAGTTGGGGCCCTTCTATCTGGGTCCCTGTATGTTTTTTCCCAGATGTCGATAGGAGAGGAACCAGCCTACTCATAATACCGTTTCAGATTTGACACTCAGCTATCTGGTTGGGTTGAGTGTGGCCTTTCTTTTTGATCCATATTGGCTCATTATATTGTTTATGGAAGAGGGTCCATTGTCTTTGTGTAATTCCAAATGCAGAGTGGTCCCATCCTGGGTTCTTGGTTGAGCACAGTTTATACCATGTCTTCCCCATAATTCCGGGAGCAAGTGGAATTTACCTTGCCCACATGGTTAGGGAGTGAGGATGAGTGTTCATAATTCCAGACCAGAAGAGTTCTGTTTCCTCAGGATGAGAGATTGAGTAAGGCATACATGATTCTGTTGTTCCGAGCCTGGCGTATTGCCTTTCAGACTTCTTCAGGTTGAGGAAAAGGTTTGTCCACTTCAGTGTTGCTAACCTTCTTATTGTAATTCCAGTGCCTTGGAACACATCACTCTATGGCTACATATAGATTGCAGTCCAATTGCCCTTGCCATCAATGTGGGATATAGGGAACATGGCCCCATAATTCCAACCCCAAGAAGTGGAACCTCGACTATCTGTTTGGGGCTTGACCAATAGTGATGAGAAATCATGTAAAATTCCACTCAAAGTACATGAATTAAGTTCTAGGTGAAAAGCATATCTGTTCTGGATGTAGTGCAGTTCCCCAACTAGAGTGATGATCATTTGTTGACATACCCATGAACTCTGCAGACACTTTCTGTATGGATAATGCCCTCACCAGCCCCCTCCACCTTATCAGTGTGGGATTATAGCTGTAAGTGGGAGTAGAGGTAAGTATGTTTTGGAAGTTAACATTTTCTTAAATTGAAAATGAATTTCTAATAATACTTGCCCTCATTCAAACTCTCCCACCCTTCCTCCCCACTAAGAGCCGGTGTTAAGGACTGGGATTGTGTCAGTCTCGAAAAAGTAATAACATTATCTGAATAAGGTGCTTATATACAGTACCAAGATAGAGGGTGCATTGATGTGTGTGGAGAGTATCACAAGGGCAATTAAGTGGGGTTTAAAAAACTGGAGCAAGTGAGACAAAATCAAACCAATGCTTAGATGGGAAAAGAAAGAAACTCTGGCAGTTGAGTAATAGCTGTAAGTGTGAGAGGAGGTAATTATAATTGGAAATATATTTTAGATTTAAGAAAATTTAACATTCGCTAAAGTATTTAAATTATTACCTATAGTCACTATATTGTTAGAATTATTACCTACATTAACTATATTGTTTGAATTATTACCTGTATTCTTAACACAGATGTATTCATTGCTGTTTGTCAGTGTTTCAATATATTTGTATATATTGTGAGTAAAAGTAATATATATGTTTTTAACATCAGTTATTATTTTTCAGTTTTTTTTTTACCATATTTTTTTGTCATATTAAAATTAATTGTTTTAGAGTGAAATTTTTTATGATTATTTTGGAATTATATATTAATCATTGTTTAGTATTTCATATATTACATCAAGAAAGTTATTTTAACTTTTTTTTTTCTGATAAACATAATTTTTATGAAACTTTCTGTGAAATATCAGTGAAAAAATTCTTAATTGGAGAATTCTGTTACAAGTTCTGGTTTTCTTCTGTCTTCATTAGACTCCAGGTTTTTCTGAATGGGATGAATTTACCAAAAGTATTCAGTCCCATAGTGTAGAAGAAGTACTAGGCATTGAAAGCCATGGTGACAGTCAAGGTTTGTATAGGCTATTAGTATACAAGTACTAATTGGTGCTACTAAAGCGTACAGTCTTCAAAGATGTTTACACTATAGCGTGCGGTCTACACAGATACTATCTTCATCACTGTTTTAACTTTAGTTTATTTACAACTGGCACCAGTTATTATAAATAATGATTTTAAATTAATAAAGTACAAAATACCATTACCTAATGTTTTGGGGCAAGTATAATCAGAATGAAATAAATTCCAACAATCACAACTAGTACAATTATAACCTAAATTTAAGGTATTTTTCTTGCTAAATAATTTATATCTATTCACATTTTTGTTCAGCAAATAATAATAATTTAATAAGTTGTATGTTCGAAAAGTTATGTTTTAGTGAATTATTAAAACTGATGATGATAGTATCTGTGTAGACTGCACCACGCTATAGTAGCATCAACTTATGTTTAAACTGTATAGTAAGTAAGTATCTATGCTAAATAAAACGCTTCATTAAACAAATTTTAAATATATGACTCAGACTGAGAAAAGTTTTAGTCCACTTCAAATTTGAATGCTCCATGTTCATGTTCTTTTCTTTCTTCTGTTAAGAAAATTATCAAACAGATATTTCTACAAGTTGAAGAAAACGTGTCTTTAAAATAGAGTCCAGGTTAAAAAGGGCTCTTCAGCTTTAAAGAAACAACATTCATCGAATATCTCGGTGATGTGGGTTCATCTTGGGATATATTTGGATAGATATAAATAATTTATCAATAAATTATGTTTTAGTGAATCATTAAAATGGTGATGATGATGATAGTATCTGTGTAGACTGCACGCTTTAGTGTAAATATTTTTGTAGATCCCATGCTATAGTATCACCTACTAATTACTATTATTACCATTATTGTCCATAGTAGTTGATATATCAAATGTCATTACTTTTTAATTTGGTATATTATTTATCATTATAGTTTTGTTATAAAGATTGTTTTGTATTGCTAGTTTCATATACATATGTGGGACTAACCTAAATCTCCTAAGCTGGTTGAACCTCATGACATATTATTGGGATTATGGCCAAAAATATTGTTAACAGGGAAGGTACCCAAATGATGAAAGAATGCAGTCTAATCATTATAAGAAAAACATGAGGAAAGTATGTTTTATTCGCAATGCTGATTGCCAGCTTGATATATGCATGTTTCAAGAAATATAATTTTATATTATTTTCCAAAATAAGTTTATCTTGTTATTAACCCTATTGACACGGGTGAAAGGCCATGTCATCGCATTTGTTGGCTTGCATTCAAAATTTTATTGAACTACTATTTTATGAATTTATGTGAATAGGTTTGATATTAAATTGTAAATTATAATTCAAATTTTAGTATTATACATTAATTAATTTCTTAATTTAAAAGTGAATATTAATAAAACACACATAAATATCAATTTTTGTGGTTCAAATTAGATGTTTGTGATATTCAGATACAAAGTCTGTAGTTTCTTATGAATTAGGAACTCATATTACTGATATTGACAAGCTAGAATATAAAATAAGAACCTCCTATGATTTCTATTTGCTGAGATATCTCTACATTTACTGACTCAAACACAGTGGCCCTGCCCACCTCTTTCCATTTTTGGAAATGCTCACGTACACCTACTTCTGTCAATGATGTGTGAATAACCAATCAAAAGCTCATAATGTCCCCCTAATAGCTTTCTCAGCCTCTTTGAAGTATTTACTTTTGAGGACTTTCTTTTTATGCTAGATTCTAAGTGGTAAGATAATACTTTAATGAGCTCGAAATTTCATATTTTTTTAGACCCAAATACAGCTCAGTTATGAAGTTTGATAAATTATAGAGGATTTATGATTTTTGGTTATTTCAAAATGTATATATAAACCTAAAAAAAAAATTTCATTTCACATCCACCACGTGTGAAATTTGATAAGGCTTAGCAACCTACAGCAAGCAGCAAACGAGTACAAAGTTTGTAATTAGAAGAAATTGTTTGCTGTACTTCTTTATTTACTCTTCTATGTTTCAAGAAAAATAAGTTTAAGAACTTATTTGTAAATAGTAATAATGTATATATATATGTATTTAACTGAAATATGATTGTACTTTACAAAACACTAGTCCACTAAAACACAGCCAAGACAGGTCACTTTGTAAAGGCCAGTTTTATATTCTTGGATACTGTAGCATGAGTGCACGTACACTGTGTCATTGCAACTTCTGTAATGTTAGCCAGGTACAGCTGAAAAGTCAGTATAATAAAAATAATATATATATATATATAAATATATTATGTTATGCAATTTAAGCTATTTAGACTAAACATTTGTATTTTCATTTTATAATTTGTAGTCATTCTAGAACTAAAAAAGTATAATTTATATTTATTTCCTAATTTTTTATAGTGGTTACAAGGTTGGTCAAATCGACCAAACCGATACAGAGATTTGATAGTGAAAATAACATAAAATATAAAGTTTTTCTTAACAGATGTTTGATAATTATCTGGAGCTTGTAAAGGTTTTGTTTGTGAAATTTGAACATTTTCTGATACATAAAAATATTTTTAATCTAAAAATCAAAATTACTTTGCATGTTTGATAGTCAACATTCCAAAAGAAAAAAGGTATGAGAAAAACATTACTTAAAAATCTTAAAACTTAATTTTGTGTCTGAGTGCCTTCTGATAATCTGCAAAACTTCATGATGATATGCATATTAATATAAAAGTTATAGCATGAAAACTAAAGCAAGCACAAAATGGTTATGAGGTCTATCCCTGGGACCAAGCCCGTGCTGATAGAGTTAATCACTCTTGCTGTGGATTAAATGAAACTATTGATGAGTATTTTTTCCACAAGTCTACTTGACAAGGAAGTAATTTTATATAAAATGAAGTTTTTCTAACTATATGTGATTAATTACATACTTTTCAGACAATACAGGTACAGAAAAGAGCCCTACATTTAGTGTAACAGTGGGAGATACAACATTAGACTTCATCTACAGCAACAAAATATGTGGATTAGAACCAGAAGAAGGTACTTCATTGTTCTCAACCAGACCACTGGTAGCCTGGCCTGTTGTGCCATTAGAAGACATCCTACAACCTATGTGAGAATCAATTAACTTATAAAATAAGTATTTTGAAAAAAAACAAAAAAAACAACTAATAATAATACTTTTGTAGAGTTGGAATATATTAGATTTTCTTGTGACACAACTCACGCGTTTTTGTGCACTTAGCACAAATATCACACTTAGTGCTACTTAACATAAAGTTTTGTTTAGACTAGAAGAAGTCACTTTTAAGTTAAATCTTCAGAAAGTTACACCAATTATTATTCTGTTTTGTTTTATAAAATGTGCATTTTTGTTATTGATGACTGATTTTTATATCTTTTAATTCTATTCAAATGTTCATTAAAATTTAATCTTAAAGTCTAATAAAACATATAGCAAATGTCTGAAACCCAATTATTGTTTTAGGCTTTTAGTTATTTATGTACTTTGGTCAGTTTTGAAAGAATTCAGTGTTATGTCATTGCTTTATTAATCAGTTGTGAAAAAAAAAAGAGTTCAGTGTTATATGTCACATTTCTGTAATCAGTTCTGACCAAATTCAGTGTTAAATTTCACATATTTATTTGAATTTGCTACAGAATGCTCCACTAAAATAAGTTGTAAAAGTAATACATATAAATCATCTTGTTATGTAATATTTTCATAGCTTATTGTTATACATTCATGTTTTGTGGTATTAAACATTAATGAATCTTTCCTTAACTTCTATGAATTACTTTACTTAAATGAAATGTTTGAGAAGGGCACTTTAAACCTTATTGAAGTCATGATATCATATGAGGAACATTTGGTTAGTGAAACAAACATCTTAAGGGTAAAATTGGTTGTTTTTTTTGCCATAGGTTTTTGGATCCTAATTGTTCTGCAGAAAGTAAGCCATCTGATGATAACACTGAAGAAAGAAAGCCAAAACCAGTGGTGTAAAAATAGGAGAAAATGTACACATTTCTCATAAATCTGCAGAAAAAAAGTTTTTGCAATAATTCAAAACTATTTTGTAAAAAGTTGTAATTGCAATATGTAACAAGAATATGAGGAATATGTAAACAAATATTTCTGGTAAACTGAAGAAAAATATATTTGCAATAATTTCCAAAAATGTGGGAAAAAATTGGTTACTTCCTGATGAATATAATTCTGTTAAGAAAATATTAAAGTACAGACTAAATTATTTAATATGGTTCTTTTATGTGTTAAATACTTTAGCAGTAGCATCAGTTTCTTAAGAAGTCTATAATGCTGGTCTAAAACATTCTAAAAGAAAGACAATATATCAAATTAGTTTGTGAATAATCTTCGATAGGTTTT